CGTCTATGGGAGTATTCAGATCTCGAGTTTTGGTCACTGGCTTGCCGACCCGTTGTGTGGCCTCACGCATTTCTACGATTTTTAGCTAATGCCTTACTATAATCCAGCTTGGTCGATATATATATATATAATCTAAGACTCGATCATCTCTCTTATCACAGTACAATTGTAAATCAAACTTTTAGGCAGGGGCTTAAAAAATAACCTTCTTCAAAAATAATTTTTAAATAATTTGATAATCTTTGCCGGAGAATAAAGATTAGATTTAATGCCTCATTTCGTATTACTATCATATTTTGTCTTATTTCTTGAGAGACTAGAATACTCTACTTAATTTGGCCTTGATTATGGCTCTAGTGCATCTGTATAGGATAGACAAGTTTATTATTTTGCGATTTGTTGGTTACGGCATATGTAATGTTTATTGAGAATTAATAAGTGTAAAAATTACAAGGGCGTTGCATGTCAGCCTACCGTAATGCAATTTCGTCGAGATCGGTTTGGTTTCAACAAATTCTGACCGGCCTCTTTGGTTCATAGCAGCAACCCGGAATAAATAATTTTGATTTGGCTCCAGTCCAGTTACTGGAATAGTCAGATCCCCATGTGTCCGCCCTATCTCACGCCAGACCTTGGAAGATACTTCGCGGCACTCCACCAAGTATTCAAGAACCTCAGGCTCGAGCTCAGGGCTGAGCAAAACACCGGGTGATTCAGGAGGTAACCATGTAAGTATGAGCGATTCAGAAGTGTTATCCTTGGCTTCGGGCTGTCTGGGCGCTGAAGGCCGATCGAGTACTTTAAGGTTGAGGCGCAGGATGCAGTCTCCTAATTCGTTGGCGATGCAAACTTGGTAGACGCCTTCATCTTCTAAGCGCACCTTAACAAGTGCTAGCGAGGTAGAACCTGACCCTGTGTCTATTTTGAAACGAGGTTTCTGAGAGGGCACAATGTCTCCCGGACGGCCGCAGGTCCAAGTAACTTTTGATTTTGGGCTGGCCAGAAAAGGTACATCGATAACGTTAGAGGTACCTGCCACCATGACTATCTCACTTGAAAGATCTGTAGTTAGCAATGTTGGTGCAACTAGAAACAAAATGAGAAAAACATGTGAAAAATGGATTTCCCTCATCTTGTTCGCATAGGAAACAAGATGTAAACAAATGCTTCCTAGAGTTTTACAATAATAGCGAACATTTAATCTGAATTCAAAACAAACCTATAATTCAGAGCTTAGATAAGCATGCATACATTTAAAAATAAGAAATCTATAATGCAAGAATCTTTTACTTATACGTATCAAGAAAGGATTAGATCCTCAAGTCCGCCTAAGCATCTGCCAACTTTACGAAAAGTCATGCTAAAATTTATCTATTTTTTGTATTTTAAGTGGAGTTTCGAGTCTACCAGTAAATCAGTAATATGAGATGTATTTACCCAATTTCGTTTAAGGTGATGAAGGACTCGTAGTAGAATTTTCCCACAGTGATATGAGTAGAACTGACGTTTCCATTGAATTTCACATAGCCTTGCTTTCCCAAAAGTTGTTCTCATCCAGGAGGACTGCAGTTTCGACCTCGCGTAGGTCTTATAAACACCCCCAGCGGGAGTCGAACCGTGACAGTGCAGAATGGGAGCTTGACACGTTAACCACTCGACCACATTGCCATGAGTGCCCTTGAGTTCCAAGGCATAAATAAATTTTAAGGAAGGCCAGGCCTTTTGCCATACCATATTCTTTGGTGGGATTGTCGATTAAGCTATGTGTTCGAGTGGTTAACGTGCCAATCTCCCATTCTGCTCTGTCACAGTTTGACTTCCACTGAGGGTGTTGGTAAGGCCGATGCGAGGTCGAAACTGCAGTCCACCCTGGATGAGAACAAATTTTGCGCAAGCAAATTTATGTGAAATGCAATGGAAACGTCAGCTCTACTCATATTATTGTGGGAAAATTCTACTACCAGTCCTTCATCACCTTAAACGAAATTGGATGAATATATCTCACATTTATGTCACATTTAGAGTTCTGCTCTCTTGTCCTTCTTGTACCAAAGTATTTATTCTTGCTTTGGGGATAAGCTCGCTTGCTTAATTGATTCTGTTTTTTCAGTTTTGTCCTAAAAAAAGATGATTATCTTTAGTGCTTCTTAATTACAGGGTTTGAAAATATATATCAGCAATAGAATACTATTCTGCTTTCCAGTTATGAGAAAATATCCAGATAAAAATTTATTTCAGAATGAAATAAACATGCATTTCAAGTTTATAAAGCCATAAACAGCAGTGGTTAGGATGAATTCCAAATCAAGATGGGACTGTAAAATATGATATGAAATATAAGAAGCCATACTCTTAGTTAAGAGGAAGTTTCCAGAGGTTTAACAGATTCAGGCTCTAGGATTTTGGAGATAGTATTTTGGGAAATACTCTAAAATACGACTTGTAAGCGACAGAATTCCAGTTTTGAGCTTCCCCTGCTCTGATCAAACGATAATGTTTCATAAAACCAGTCTAGTTTACAAAGTGTCATACTAATCTCAAAGAGAAAAGAAATTAATTAATAATATATCTAACTTCGCATATCCAGCCTGGCAGTGCTGAGCACTTTCTCTGCCTGGATGCTATAGACGCCAAGATCTGTCTCCACTATTTTGTCAAAAATAATCCTGTGCACCGTTCCTTTCATGTCTTCCTCGATGTGAACGCGTTTGGAATCGCCTCCATCTGGCAAAAGTAGTCGTTTATCCTTAGTCCAAATAATTGGTGTTCGAGGAGCCCGAGATAGCTGACAGGACAAGGTGAATGGTTCCGTGACGAGTTCTGTGATACAATAGTCCTGCAGGGGCTGCACAAACTCAAGAGGGATACCTAGAGTTTCAGGAAAAATAAAAATATGCAAATATATTGGTGAAGACATTTTTAAATTGTGGGCTAAAAATCTAGATGCGCTAACATCTCCTGGACCCCTTCTAAAAGGAAGATACACCAGAGTAAAATTATGGAAGAAATTGATACGGAGGGAGGTATCCTCCGATGTCCATCTAACATCAATATACCTTACCAAAAATTATTTAGGAAGTAAAAAGGAATCTTGAGACCTAACTTTTCGATAAATACTTCTTTGTTATGGAGACTTCGATTTTGTATAAAAGCGGATGAAGAAGAGATTCGACGTTATATCTTACCAGCAGACGACGGCCGATTCCTGTTGTACTGCAGCCGTTTGCCTTTATATGACGTTCAGGTTGACGCAGTCGACGAGATATGCTCCATCGTCTCGAGCGATAACGGTCTAAGCTTTCCTCCACGATTTGATGGATATCGTCAAAGTCCCAAGTAAACACTAGGTCAAGAATATAGTCCGGCTCTATCATACCTCTTATATATACTCATAACTAAAAAACGAAAAAATATATACATAGATAGATATCGAATGATTCGGCTAATTTCTTTCAATATTGCATATAGTTCTTTTACTTGTGAGTGTGTATGCTAACGTCTATAAGCAGAATGATTAAAAAAACCTAATTTTAGTATCGGATCATCAAAGCTTAATGGCCCAAGAAAAAAATCCCTGGTCAAGACTGCGTAAATCCCTAAGCAAATCTGGTTGAAATATCGCCATGTAAGCTTAGAATCATTGATTAGAGGATGAATAGCTTATTTTTGGTTAGCCTCTAACGGCATAACTTCTCTTCAATCTTTAATTAACCAGAAGTGATTCTTACTCAACTTTCTACCACCGTTCTTCACATTCAGCGTATTTCCTGAGCTATTACCGTATTTTCCGGCGTATAAGACGACTGGGCGTATAAGACGACCCCTGACTTTTCCAGTTAAAATATAGATTTTGTAAGGAGGTAAGGGCCACAACAGGAGCTCGGAACCATAGTATAATTAGCGATCCCTAAACTACACTCGGTGTATAGGACGACCCCCCACTTAGGAGCAGAAATTTATGGTGTGAAAAATCGTCTTATACGGCGGAAAAAACGGTAATTTCAATAAAATCTCTTATCTTTCTTTTAACCGCAGACGTACAATAATAAACAAATCTACTAATTTGCGACCCTTTTATCTCATGTTCAGTTTCTACCATGTATTTGGATATTTCTACCCGTTGAACCCAGCTTCCTTTACAAGCAACGGCGTATTCCCCAATTTTTGTCAAATGGCTCGGTCATATTTCTCTATAAAAATGGAATAACAGAAGAAAATGATGGTTTCTTTAAACACTGTTCTGTGTTCCCACTAATTCGCCTATCTTCTTAGAAAGAAGTAATTATGGCAAAATTAGGACATGGGAAAAGGCCTCAACTTATCTATGTTTAACTAGATAGTCTCTGTCTGAAAATGTATTCCTCAATAAGGAGATATTATTATCAATTAGGCCTAAGGGATAAATATTTTCCATGAATAAATCTTTCAGCATTTCCAACTCTTTAGTCAAATGGTTATTATCAGCTAGTCTCATATTCTTAATAATGATAGGTTTTTAATTTCCAATCTAAGTTTCGTAACTATGGTTGAAAAGAAAATTCAGGAGGCGAGATATGATAATTCCTTCAAACCATGTCTTACTAGTTTACCTTCTCTAATAGCCAGAACATCCAAAAAAAGCAAGGATCTATGCTATACTATTTCCATTATGAAGATAATGTTTCTTTCACTTTGATTAAGTGAAACCAGGAAACTATTTAAGCTTTCCACTAAGTGTTCCTCAAGTTCAGCCGTATAATTGTTTGCCAAGTTAGGAGCTAAGCATGATATCATCGCAACTCTTTGTGTCTGTTCGTAAAGCTTACTGCCAAAGGTAAAATAAGTACTACTCGTGGATAGGTTAAAATCAACCAGTAACATACGGACTTCTGCATTCTTGGTCAGGGGTTTTTCTTGGGGCATTAAGACTTGACGACCCGAGCCTGGCATTAGACATTTTTAATCACTCTTATTTAAGACCAGTATTGAGTATAGAAGCTAACACACATACACAAGTAAAAGCACGATGAAAATGCGAATGAGAAATGGCCAAATCATTTTTTATATATTTATACTTTTTCGTTTTTTAGCTATGATTATATATAAGATGTAAGAGTCGGACAGTCTTCTTGAACAGGTGTTAAGTCAAGACTTTTACAGGAATAAGTTTCAGCTCTGATGATATTCATCAAATGAAACAGGAAAGCTGAGCTTGCAGGACGTCCCATCGACTGCGTCAACCTGAACGTCTTATTAAAGTAAAAGGGCTGCAGCTCAACGAGAATCGGCAGTCTTCTTCTAATGAGATCGATATACCAATCTCTTCAGCATGCAC